GGGGAGGGCCCTCCAGTTATTCTATTTTTAAGTCTCAGCTCTCTACCATATCTGTGTTACAATAATTTATTTATACTTTCAGAATAAAGCTAAGGAGACTGTTATAGTTATTTACATACAGTTCCTTCTTCTGTAAGCTAGATGCATGACAACTTCTAGAGCCACTAGTAGTTAACTATCTAGTGATGTTAACAGTGCAGGTGACAACTCTGAGAAGATACTTCCCACTCTTATAAAATGTTGAAGGAGAGAATTAAGTGATGAACACATTTACTCTCCAAATCAGATGTCCACTGTTAGTGAAAACTCAAAAAAGGATACTATAGAGGATCCAAGAGCTACAATGTCTACTAATGTGGTGTGCATATGCTGGTGGAGATTTAATCTCCACCAGTATTACTACCCCAATTACCACTAGTTTTTCAGAGTTCGCCAACAACGTTGAACAAATTTTGAAGTAGTCTACAAAACAGGACTTTTCTCACAAACTCTGTTACTTCTAGTACATTATTTTACACAACAACGATTTTCTGGAACAAATATATCACAAAATAGTGAAATAATCATATAAAAGTAGAGATGAATATATTTTGTGGCTTTATCTAAAAAAGTTAGATATTGATAATCATCAATCTTCATGTAGTTACATAATGCAATATAACAGGGTTATGTTTTATGTAAGGAAATAAAATGGTTTTACTATTGCTTTCAAATTTCTTTTTTAATATTTTCAAAATACTTACTGAATTCTCCAGTAAGAAAGACTCCTTCTGCTCCTGGGGCCCATTCCTTGCAGTATATTCCACCATCAGCACGTCTATGGACACCAAAAGATTCATAACCTCTGGAAAACTTATCAATACCACCTTCATTCTCTCCAATGCTGTCCAAAGTCTGGTTGAAACGCTTATACCTTTGAAAAAAGCAAAAGAAGGGAAGTTGGAAATTTAAGTCACCTCTGTGAAAAGCTACTATAATTAAGTAGCTGTTTCATTCAGAAAATCCATCATTTAAGAGGAATAATGTGGAAAATTTTAATTTAGTGATAAGAGATTATCTGTAGGATAAAAATCATACTTATCTCAAATAAGCTTAACTGATCCAATCAACAAATTTTGTCATTGCAAGCATTCTGGTATAAGAGGAAATAAGGAAGGTTAGATTATTTCCTTACTTTTTAAAAATCAGCACTATTCTAATGTCCATGACATAATATGAAGCAGAATCCCTATATCTCTCCCCTTTAATTCCTAAGTAAATGGAAAAAAAAAAAAAGCTAGTAAGAAAACTGAAAGCAAGTGATTTGGCAAGCTATTCCTATTAAGGGGCAGAAAATAAATGTTTTAGGTTTTTTTTTTTCATCCATGTGGTCTCTGTCCCAACTACTCAACTGTGTCTCTGAAGCATGAAAGTGGCTACAGACAATATGTAAATGTCAATGGCTGTGGCTGTGTTCCAGTAACATTTTACTCACAAAACAGCGTAGCAGGCCCAATGTAGCCTGTGGACTATAGTTTGCCTACCACTACCCAGCATTAAGCATGCAAAAAACATACCACATGTCAGATCACAAAAGCTAGGGGTTATAAGAAATTTGGCAAATCCCCAAGTGGGACTTGAGTAATGCTTGGCTGCTCCTGACCCACTCCCAGATCTGCCACAGTCCACATTCACCATGGGTACATACCAAATGCTACCCACTTTCACTAATAACCCTCAAATATGGAGAAAAATAAATTAGAACAAAGCTGGAGAAATGAAGCAAGGAACATAGATAAAGGTTACAGAACCACCCAATGAACTGAGCAATGCCAATAAACTGCCTGCACTGAGGGCTGAGCAATGGAAGTTCCAGAAAGCTAGCAAGAATCCAAGTAGTACAAATACAGGGAAAAGACAACGTTTTCAAATACTCTTTGGTAGATTATTAGAGAACAATTTGGCATCTGTTAAGAAAATGTGAAAACCACATTTTTCAAGTAAGTCATTTTTTTTTTCCTAGAAATTTACCCTTTGTATCATACAAGGAAGCAAAGGCATCTATGGGTATGACACTATTTATTATAGCACTATTTATGGCACCAAGTCATGGAAAATAATCTACTTGATCAACAATGGGAAACTACCTTAATAAACTAGAACATACAACAACATGTTACATAAGGGTCATTAAGAAGCATGAAAAAGAGTGAAATGTGCTAATACAGGAAGCTTCCTAAGATAGTCTATTTAGAAGGAAGTCACAGATGGTCCCACAAAGTATCTAGATATTCAGTTATCATTTGGTATATAAAACTTTAATATGTATTAAACAACCTAATATTTAACAAAAAGATCATATAGTAAGGAGCAATCAAAAAATAAACTTGTGTTAAAAATGTGCACACTACATATATTCATAATAAATGGAAAATCACTGATTTTTACAAAAAGATTATAAACTATAGGTGGCTAAATAACAGGGTAAGATCTCATTTTCAAAAAAATATGTTTTAAGTATACTTAAAGTTTAAATTAAAAAATAATCTTTCCTGAAAAGATTCATAAGATATATACAAATGCCCCATTTATTAAAAATTCAACAGAAACAGGATTAGAGCATTTTATTACTTAAAGTAAGTATCTTGACTTCCCTCAAGGTCAGCCCTATAGCTTCTCATACAGAAATACACATTCCACTTTGAAATCACTGTAACTCAAAAAAGAAAATGCCTGAGGATATAGCAAGCTCATCATGCCTGTGCCCTCTCTTACTACAGCCATCTCTCTTAATATTTTCCTATGAATTTATAGGATATTTAAAAACTGGGTCAAGTTCTTGGTAACCAAGAGCATAAAATATAGTATAGCAACTAACATTTTGTACAGATAGAAAATGTTGCAACACTATCGGTTTTGAATTCTACATTGGGGTTTTTAATCCTCTTTTGGGGCACAGATAAATATGTAAATTGCCCACTTCAATTGAGTATAAGCAACAGAAATGTAACATTATTCCTCATAAAAGGAATACTCTAAGTATATAAAGAGACAAATTATGAAACTGAAAGTTACATTTTCCTTTTAAAGAGAAGGAAAATTTTTTGGAAGTTCTTCTAAATTCACTTATAAGGCTAATAAGTGTACAATTAAAAGAAAGGTAGAAATGGTATAGAAATAAACAGTAAACAAGACAGTTCTGTTATATAATGTATAAGATCTTAAACAAGTCACTTCATTTTTTTTCTTAATTTCTCCCTTTGTTAACTGGGGGGCAGGGGAGGATCTCATAGGTCATAAAGAATAACTGAAATCACACTTGGAGTCATTGCCACAGTAGCCATTGTGTAATCAAAAATTGTAGGCTGCAGTTTTTCAAACCATCTTGATGACCAATGTGTCTTTATTCATTTTTACATATTCATTTACTTAGATTTTAATAAACATATGAATTGTTAACAAACATTAAGGAAATCCCCCTCAAATTCCAAAAGTATCTATAAATCCTTACTATTTTATTCAGCTATGATAATTACAAATTTCGGCAAATTAACACGTAATACATACCAAGAGTATGTATAACAAGTAGCTGGTATTGACTGTGGAAAGCCTGGGAGAAAATTAAATGTATTAAATTTGTGGGGATAGAAAAGGAGGTACTTTCAGAAGATGCAAGAGATAGGTAGGGAGAAAAGTAAAAAAAAAAAAAACAAGCTAAAATCCTTGCTCTCCTAGAAGGCAATTTATCCTAGATCAGTACTGAACTTCTAATTTCAGGCAGAGTTGTAAGCCAAGTAGGAGACAAGTCAGGAAAATGAACCATAACATATCTGGAAATGTCTAGAACGTAGACTCCTTTTTCAAGTGCTTCTGAGTGGGCCTGAAACACAGAGATCCATGGGGGAAATTTCTTCCTTACTAGCTTAATTTTTTAAGATTTTATATTGTCATCTACTTTATAGGGTACACTTGGAATAGAGACAAGAAAAAGCACAAAAGTAAAAGCTCAACAGGAACTTTGAAAGACTAAAAAGGGAGGAAATAAGGTTAAAGGAGAGGGAACTGGAATTCTTTTGAAAGAAAAATATAGCTTTTTAAATCAGCCTTTCTAACATTTTAAACTGTCTGGCAGAAACACTGTCAGATAAAACAAATCATACTAGATATACAAAATGTCCATATATTAATACTGTCAAGCAAACATAAAACACTTGAGACTTACACTTAAACCCTTTTATCAATGATAAGTATTCTACAAACTGCCAAAATAAATATATTTGACAAAAATATTTATTGTGTACTAATCAGGCAGATACAAGAAACAAGATCTTTCCGTTAAGAAGTACAACTTTCCAGTGGAGGCCTGACCTAAGCAAGTGTTAACAGACAAATAATCAAAACAAGAAAGTTCTGTGAGAAGATATTAGTAAATGCGTTATGTTGCTAACCCACCCAGGGGTGCATTGACCCCTATGATGGCCAGTACCTAGGAGACTCAGAGAGGTGAGAGAATGAAGGAGGAGCCTGGGGGCTGGGGTCTGAAGTCTGATTATTAGGACCGCCCATGGGTATATATAGGGTCTGCATGTGCAGGGAAAAAACAGGAAATGTGCCCCACCCAGGGAGTGGGGTGCATGTTTGTACCTGTCCTGGGGCTTCTTGCAGCTTCTACTTGAAACAAAGTAGTGGGCTGCAGCTATTTGCAGGACAGAGTGCACTCACTTGTGCTCTGCTGACTTGTTTGTTGGCCTTACAGGGGAGTGTGCTCACCCATGCACAACATTAGCCAGGCCAGACAGATACACTTGAGGTCTTGAAGAGTTAGCCACAGCTTTAGGGAATAGGGGCATCTGTGCTATATACTGAAGAATGAAGAGAATATTCTGATAACTGAAGAAAACATAGAAAGGGGCATAACATGCAACAATTACATGGTCCTTCTAGACGTGACTAGCTAGATGTGGCCTCAGCAAGATAGGTAGATAGGAATCCAATGGCTTATCAGGGTAAGATGGTTTTCAGCTAGATACCAAATAAAAATAAAAATCTCTAAAGACTTTACAGAGAAAATAACTGACATTATCAGAGACATGTTTTAAAGAGAGCAGTTTGGTGGGTGTATTTTAGTTAATAGAGTCCAATTTAATAGAACTGTATTAAACACACAACATTAAAATCATAGGGATTTATGAACAATACTTATTTTACAAGATTGATCAATGTAAAGAACTTACCAGTGAAATCATAGTATATGTAGTTGCTTGTATTTCATTTTTAAATGTCATTAATCACATCATGTCTAAATACTCAAAATTCTATTTCAAATCTCAGTGATGTATTCAACTAAGCATAAACTCTTAGATCTTATCTATCATGAAACAGCAGAAATGGGACCATTTAAGTATTAGTGGAAAGCTAAGAGTAGTAAAACCATCCATTTATTCCACAAATAATAATGAGCATCAACTAAATATCCAATGGCACAATAGTTACTGAGGACACAGAGATGAAAGTCATTTTGAAGCCCCTACATTCAAAATAGTTTCTGTTACATATGAGACAATACAAAAAAAAAAAAAAAAGGAAAGCAATTGATAGGGCATTAGTAAAAGTTTGTAACCAGAAAACAGAAGAAAACAGAAGACACTGGATTATAAATTCCGCAAAGATGGAGAAAATTATCTATTTCATGTACTGATGTACCCAAGCACCAAAAAAATACTATAAAGTGGTAAGTAATCAACAAACAAAATATACTGAGCATCTATTACTTGCCAGATTGTGGCTTGGCAATGGTAAAACAATGGATTTAGAATTAAAATATGGGTTATTATGCAAAAAATTGGAATTCCAGTCCTACATTTTATCATCTATAACTCAAGATTAAAGTTTCTAATCTGAAATGAGACTAAAATTACCTACTCCATAAAGTTG